AATAAAGTTAAAAAAATATATTCAATAAAAAATGAATTAATAAAAAGAAATTAAAAAGTTTAAAAAATAAATAAAATTAAAATATTTAAAAAATGTGAAAGAATTTAAATAAAAACGTGTGGGGGATGGGGGGTACAGTTCCAGTGGATTTTTTTATAATGGGGTAAAAAAAAAAATTCTGCCCCGGGCGCCCATGACTCCGGTTACGCCACTGCTCTTAAGGCATCAGCATACCAAGACGTTTTGGACAATTTCATGCTCCCAACCTTGTGGGAACCGTTTGGGGATGACCCCTTCCCTTTCCTACATGACTGCGCACCAGTGCACAAAGCAAGGTCCATAAAGACATGGATGAGTGAGTTTGGGGTGGAGGAACTTGACTGGCCTGCAGAGAGTCCTGACCTTAACCCAATAGAACACCTTTGGGATAAATTAGAGTGGAGACTGCGAGCCAGGCCTTCTCGTCCAACCTGACCTCACAAATGCGCTTCTGGAAGAATGGTCAAACCAGGTCGTCCAACCTGATCTCACAAATGCGCTTCTGGAAGAATGGTCAAACATTCCCATAGACACACTCCTAAACCTTGTGGACAGCCTTCCCAGATGAATTGAAGCTGTTATAGCTGCAAAGGGTGGGCGAACTCAATATTTAATTACAGACTAAAGCTAGCCATACACCTTACAATTTATCTGCAGATTTTCTGTGGTCAGATGGAAAAGGTGCAACAGATTCCTCCATCTACACTTAACTGTGTGGATGGAGTAATCCTCCACCTGGGCCAATCTGTTGCACTTTTTCCATCTGACCACAGAAAATCTGCAGATAAATTGTAAGGTGTATGGGCACCTTAAGAATGGGATGCCCAGGGCTTGAAAAATCCACTCGTCCACTCATCTGTGACGAGAGGACGGTGGAGCCCGACGAGCAGCTTCACGGCCGGCCGTTGTAATTACACGGCCGGGTCGGGAGCTTTACAATCAAGCGATCGGGCATCTCTAGAGACGCTCGATCGCTTGTATTAGCAGCTGTCACTGCCGTTGCTGGTCCCTAGATCCGCTGTGCCCGATGCGGTCGGGACCGGCACGGCTCTGTGACAAGAGATCAAAGGGAGTTGAGTATACAAACTCCCTTTGATCTCCTCTCAGTCCCCGAATGCAGGAAGTGATGTATATTACATCACTTCCTGCATTCAGTGTCACTCCCAGCTACAGAAGCTGATGAAGCAGATCTGTGCTTCATCAGCTTCTCTGGGGGTCCCTAGGTGACAGGGGTCTTGGAGACCCCTGATGTCTCCATAAAGAGGATCGGTCATGTAAATTGGCTATCACATTAGGGGGCTTCTTAGCACCCCATGTAATAGCAATAAAGTTGTGTGTAAAAAAGAAAAAAATAAGTAATACAAAAATGAAAGAACCATAAAAAATAAATAAAAAAGAAAACATTTTTTAAAGTCCCCGCCCCCCACATACACAGGCAGATATGCGTCGGGTGCGCCTACGTGCAAAAACGACGATTGCGCCTATTGTGCTGCACATGTTACATATCGCCGCAAACGGAGTGAGAGCAATAATTTTAGAGACATTAACCACTGATGACAATAAACTGATGAGCAGTAAAACGTTTTAATCGTCGCTTATGGGCTTTTTTTGCGATTTTGCGGGCGCACTCAATTTTAAGGCTTGACATGTTTAGTGTCTATTTACCCGACGTGACCCCCGACTTTTATGTTTTACTAAAAATATGGGTAAGAATAAATGTTTTATAACATAACGTAGGGGAACTTTTTTTTTTTTTTTACATTTATGGTACTTTTTTCATTATATAGTAAAAAAATGAAAAATACCCCCCCGCGGTGATTATATACCCCAAAAAGAAAGCTCTATCTGTCCCAAAAAAATGTTAACATAAATTGCAAGGCTATAGTCCGGTCTGACTTTTTTCAAGCCCTGGGGATGCCATTAAAGTTCATGTGTGTGTAAAGGCAGGTGTCCCAATACTTTTGGCAATATAGTGTGTCACCTATATTATTATATATATATATATACAGGGCTCGAAAAATCCACTCGTCCAATCGTCTGTGACGAGCATATATTTATATATAGATATATATATATATATCCTTTCAATTTCAACAGGTGTGGTATTGATATAGTTTGAGAGGCCACTTTAGCATAACTTGATGATTCTTTACCTTGTTGTTATCTAGAGGTGCCTACAGATATCTTCAGCAGGTTACAACACTCTGAAGGCCAGGCCATTCTATATGCAAAACACTGACGCTTCCTGATTGTGCTGATTGCTGGGACACAGCAGCGCCCAGCGGCGAGGAAAGAAAGCAGGGATGCGCTGCTGTATTTGCATTTAGCCAAAAGTGCAATTTTCGGCCGATATGTTTCGGCGCCCGATATATCGGTGCATCCCTAATATTTTGTATTATATCAGATATAATTTTAGTGCTTAGTAGCTCTTTTTCACTTTTTTTTGCATCATCACTGGCGCAGATCTTTTTTGTTTATCTGTCACTCCACTAACCTGTCAGTTTTCATTCTAGCCTGCTTGAAAGACAAAAATCTTCCAGTTGTACAGTAATTGAGGTTGTACACACCCCATCAACTGGCAGATTTTCTGACGAAAACGCAATTGCAGACAAAAATCTCCAGATAATTGTAAGGTGTATGGGCACCTTTAAGGAGTATGCAGGTGGAACCTGTCTTATTTAAACCTCGATCCTAGAGTCTGGTGTTTTTTGATATTGACTCGTGTGGCGTTGGTCATGCCAAGATCAAAAGAGCTCTCTAAGACTCTGTTTACACATAGGCATTAGCATTTTAACACATATTGGCGTACATTTTCATCTATCGTGTTTAGTGCAGTTTTATTGGTTAGACCCTCGAACTTGAAGCTGTGCCTTTTAGCGGACAGATTGAAAGGCATTGCGGTCAGTGGACAAATGTATGCAAAAACCGCACAGAAATGTGTTGTGTGTTTCCAGGGTTTTCAATTGAAGTCTATGGGGCCAAAAGCCTTCTTATCTGCCAAAAAAAAGCTTATGTACTTTTTTCCAGCATTCAACATTTTACAGCTTGCGACAAAAACGCTTAGGTGTGAACAGGGGCCATTGAAATGAATGGGGTTTCATGTGTTGAGAGTTTTGTGGCACTTGGCTTTAAGTGTCAAAACGTCCAGGTGTGAACAGGGACTAAGAGCCTCAAATAAAAGGGTATGGATGCTTATAAATCTGGCATGGGATTAAAAAAGTTTTCTAAATTATTTTAAATCAACCATTCCAATAGGAAAGTGATTTACAGGTGGTGTAGATTTAAAACCTTTGCTGTCCAAAAGAAACAGTAGTGCAAGACTTCAAAAAGTATTAAATGCTCAATTTCTTTTTTCATTAATTAATCCAGATCAAACCTGTATATAAATTACCCAGCACATTATCTCTTTAAATTTTTGCCCAAGTACATAATAATCAGTTTTCTGAACAGCTGGCTCCAATTTTCTCAGTTCTGTTTCCCTGAACTTTCTGTCCAGTACAATATCATAAGCAGGGCTTGAAAAATTTGATAGTGTCTCACCAGTCAGTCAAAAATTTCACCAGTCAGCATGACCGGACTATAGCCTTGCAATTTATGTTTAAAAAGTTTGGGGACAGATAGAGCTTTCTTTTGGAGGTATATAATCACCACAGGGGGAATGAATCTCATTTTTTTATTACTTTTTTGTTTTTTTTGTTTACATACAACTTTATTGCTATTACATGGGGGGGCTAAGAAGCCCCCTATGGGATAGCCAATTTACATGACATGTCCTCTTTAGGGAGACATCAGGGGTCTCCAAGACCCCTAATGTCACCTAGGGACCTCCAGAGAAGCTGATGAAGCCGAGATCGGCTTCATCAGCTTCTCTAGCTGGAGAGTGACACTGAATGCAGGAAGGGATGTCATCTACATAACTTCCTGCATATAGGACTGAGAGGAGATCAAAGGGAGTTCGTATACTGAACTCCCTTTGATCTCCTGTCACAGAGCCGTGCCGGGCCTGGCCGCATCGGGCACAGTGGATCTCGGGACCGGCAACGGCAGTGACAGCTTCTGATACAAGCAATCGAGCGTCTCTCGAGACGCTCGATCGCTTGACTGTAAAGCTCCCGGCCGGCCGTGTAATTACAACGGCCGGCCGTGAAGCTGCTCGTCGGGCTCCACCGATTTTTCGAGCCCTGATCATAAGGGATAGCACAGTCCATCTACTAGCTTGGAGGAGGGAGAGCAGTAAGGTGTGGCGTGGCTGACACTGCGGTGCACACACACAGCTTACGAGCACACAGAAGGATGGCTCCCATGCAAGGGAATGGAGCCATCCTGACACAGGAGATTAGGGCTATTGCTAAGGGAACCAGATGATTCTGCAGGAAACAGAACAACAAGAAGCAAAATCCATTGTAAATGATTTGATCAGCTTTTGAAATGGCTTAAAAAACATTGATTTCCTTTCTTTCTTGAACATTTAGTCAAACTAGGCCTTCTGGAACAGTGGCCTGTGCACTGATCAAAGATAGAGTGGTTCAGCGCAAACTGAAGACAGCACTTCAGGATACAAACCTCATACCAACTGTGAAGCATGATGGTGGAAATGTTATGGTTTGGGGTTCCTTTGCTGTTTTGGGGCCTGTCCAAAAAAATAACAAAGTGCCATAAACAAAATTACATTTACCTCGATAACACTTTTCTTCCTGTGCACCTGAGGAAATGTCCTTAAACTCCTCCTTTTTACTGCCTCTACATTCTGCTGCCACAGAAGATTTAAAAGAAAAATCCTCTTTTTTACTTTTTAGTTTGTTGCCTTTCTTTCATTGCATTGTTTTTAAATTTAATTTAAAAAAAGCTTTCTGCATATTGAAATAATGTTAACCTATTGTCAGACAGCCTTCCTCAACATCCATACTTGGTTAATGGAAGCTGGCAATTCTCCTTGTGTTATCCTTAACGGCTATATGTACAGGGGACCTGGTTCGAGCTTTCCATGCTGCCTTCCGGAATTCTCCCGTCAACTCCAAAAACCAGTTAGTAAAAGTAAGAGTCAACTGTCCTATTTTATTGAACTTGTAATTTAAAGTGGAAGGATTATTCATTTCCCTAATTACATATCCTAAGGCAACATTGAAAAATCATATTCATTGCTGTTTATTATTGCCAGTCTTTTTCCGTTTTGACCATACAGGCTTTTGAACTTCAAATAGATTTTGCATGTTAATACTTCTGGGCATCTGTTTATGCTGCTATGTATGGCTGACTTGCTTGCCCAGATACAGCAATCAATGCATTTACAGTTCACTCCTGGCAGAAAGCAAATTTAAGTGCAATCATAATAGAACAATCGAGAAGGTCTCAATGGAGTTGGACTTAAAAAAACATGAACACACTGATTTGGCTTTATTTGCTTCTGACTTCATACTCTTACTCCACTCAGGAACGAACCCAGGCAGTTGTACTAAAAGTCCTGACATCATTTAAAAGTAATGAGATTGAGCAAGCTGTGGAAACACTGGATCGAAATGGAATTGACCTGCTTATGAAATACATCTACAAGGGGTTTGAAAAGCCTTCAGAGAACAGCAGCGCTATATTGCTACAGTGGCATGAAAAGGTATGTAAGTGGGAAGTTAGACTATAAAACCTAAAAAGCTAGGTAAGAACATGAAAAAATACCTCTAGCATCACATTGGACACTTATCTAATTTTAAAGCATATCTAAACCCAAGAACAAAAATATAATATAATACAGCTTACCAGTCTTTAGATGTCTTGGCTGCTCTGGTTTTCATTTTTCAGGCTTTTTTTTCTACCTGGTGATCCTGCCACTAACATACTTCTGCCCTAGAGTGATAATGCTTACAATCTGTACTCTTATCTATGGGGTCAGAGTTATTACCCTGGTACAGCAAGTGGGTTAGGGCTACACAACCCCTCTCCCTATTCTCATCCTCACAACAAAGGGGGGAGATGTTATGTAAGTTCACAGGGGAGAACTACACAAGGCTGTTAATGCTTGACCAAACACTACAGAGAGCACAGTAGTGCCAAGCTACTTCTGTTAAATTTTATCATTTTGCAGCTTCCTTCTTCCATAAAGTGTCAGAGCTACAGAAGTCTATGAGAAATCTTTGACATCCAGATAGAAAAGCTGCAGGAAGGGACCCAAATGCTCTTGATGTGAGGCCTAAAGGGGATTGCCAGAAAATATAGTTTGTTTTACCTTACAGTTATAGCACTTTGGGTTTGCTAGTATTGCACCCATAAAATACACTTATTCTCCCTGGAAGCTATTGCATTTTTATTTTTCTTATTTGTGCATTTTTTTTAATGTCCCTGCAATACTTGCCATAAATCTAGGGCTGTCCTATGCAGTACCTCTTCTCAAGATGCCCTCAATCTTCCAAGTTGAGTAACACCCAGTGTCCCTCAACCTGGAAGACTAAAATTGCTGGGAGTGCAGGTTGTCCTAGCCATGCCCTCTCTGCACAAAGTCAGAGAAATGACTAATGTCAGAGCCGCTCTTTGCATTTTTCAGAACCACTGTGTACCAAGAGAAAACTGGAGAGCACCCCGTGAGCCACGTAACCAGCCAGAAGACATCAGAAAAGGGAATGTTATAAGTTACTGCAGACTACGTCCTCTGTGGGTGGATTGGGAGCATGAGGTGGCACTAAAGTCAGGAATTAAATATTAAAAATGCATTCAAGTATCTTAACTATTAACAAAAATATAGCTTATTCGTGCATCACTGAACTGTAGATCCTCAAATTATCTCTGGATTTGTACTGACACTGTTTTTCTGGAGGGTGGCTACTTATGTTCCCTGTGTGTGTTTTAAAGTAGCCACCACTCCAAGCATCAATCTTAGGTTTAGTTTGCTCATTTGTATTGAAATTATTGTCTATCGCCGGGAGTATGGAGCATTGGCTACCTTACAACACACACGGACCATGGGCAGCAAAGTAACTGCCCTCCAGAAGGATGGACAGTGTCAGCACAAATGTAGAGATGATTTGAGAATCTACAGCCAAGTGATGTACAAATAAGGTACAGTTTTGTCAATACATAAGGTACTTGAATGCTTTTCTAACCCCTGAGTTTAGTGTCACAAAGTGAACCAGTTATTTCCACCAAAGTGTAAACTAGCATTACTATTTAAGCACAGACACCATGGCTCCTTAATAAATAAATATACAAATAATAATAGTGTACTGACATAGGGACATGTACCAGTTTTGTTATACTCATTACATAGCATTCTCAACTTCATTGTAAGAAGTAGTAAGCTATTGTACTAACATTTAATAATGGGAAGTGAACATATGGTAACCCATAGTCACACTCTGACTTCTCTATATATGCATGGCTGCTGGTTGTCTGGTCTGCTTGCTTGATCAATTCTGTCTTGTGTACTCTCTCATAGTGGAGCTGCATGATTCCTTTGAGTTTGGCTCCTCTTACTTCAGCTCAGTAATGTTTGTTGGGATACGATTTGGGGAAGTTTCCTCTTTGTTAGCCTGGAAGACACATCTAGCAGCCACATCGAATATAGTATACTGCATTTTGTACAGAGTGCATTCCGTGGACTGGACAGCTAGCTGCAGGCCAACAGAGGCAGAAGTCTGACCTGTAATAGGCATAGCATTCCTAACAAATAAATGCTATTTTAGACAATTGCCTTTTTTTTTTTTTACATTTGTTAGTATGGGATTGGCACCTACTTTTTTCATTTTTCCTGTATCTTTCTCGTTTATAATTGGCTTAAGGCTTTTTATTGTTTTTGATTATGTTCATAAATGTTTACATTTTTATCTATATGTATTGTGTTCAAAGCTGCTAACCAAATTCCACATATACCCTTGTGTTCTTGAACCCCTCCTCTGATCCTCAGATTAGTTTATTTTTGCCTAGTGGAGAACACTGGATTCTTTACCCAGAAACTGGACTTTCTTTGTGTGTTGATAAGGTTCCACACTTTACTCATTCTAATATCTTCTCAGGGTGTTTCATCTGCCAAATGCCAATGCTTCTACTTGCTCTAGGACAGGTGTAGCAAACCTCCGGCCCTCCAGCTGTGGTGGAACTACAAATCCCATGAGGCATTGCAAGATTCTCACAGCCACAGACATGACTCCAAAAGAGATGCATCATGGGATTTGTAGTTTCACCACAGCTGAACGGGCCGGAGGTTTGCTACCACTGCTCTAGAGGCTCTAGAATTTGACAGTTGAATGATGTGATAGGGCTTGTTGCAGTAAGGCTAACAAGCCCCGGGCGAATGCATTTCTCTTAAAGCCTGAGTCTAGGGTTTAGGATCTTTTCTAGACCCCAAATAAGTAATGAGAAGATAAGCAGTTATGTGAGGTTATCTTTAAAGATCTTTAAAGAAGAACTCCAGGCAACAGAAAAATTAACCCTTGCAGTGGGGCTACATCTGCACAGTAAGGGTTAACTGCTCGTTTTGGTTTAGAAGCTAAAATAAAGAAAATATTTCCAATCCTCGGTCCTGCGGTAGTGACCATTCACCTCTTCCCTCCCGCTTTGGCAGTGGAATGTCCCTCAGCATCCTTGCATCTAATGCAGCTGCAGACCTGATGACATCACGGGTCCTTAGGCTGCCGGAGTCCAGGGGAAAAGAGGCTGCAGGGGACTGGTCTAGCAGCCAACGGGACTGAGGATCAGGTAAGTATATCTTCTAGACGAAAAGAGCACTTAACCCTTGCAGTGCGGGGTTAGCCCTACTGCAAGAGTTAATATTTTACATGCCTGGGGTCCTTCTTTAATTTTCCATTGCCTGAAATTCTTTTTTAAGTTTATAATTATTTACACTTTGGTGGATATCACAAGTTCACTATAAATACATCAAGAATTGCAGACACAGAGATGTGAATTTTACTTTTGCCTACCAAAAGATTATTGGTGATAAGAACCCTATGGCATACCAGTTAGATTAAAAGTTTACTCTATCTGGACAAGGGGAAAGAGTAACAGATGCTTCGCAACCACTAACTTCTGTTTTGAAGCCGAATGCCAGCCAAAACGTTATTTAATTTTAAATAGATCATGGAACAGTTAGAGCTTCTTTAAAGCCCAATACCATTGGAGTGGAGATCTTGAATCTCTAACCATTGGGTTATTGCACCACCTTCAGGAGTAGGACACTAGGCAAAAAAAACAGCACAGCTTCGGGGTGGCCCCTGACGGTGGCCAAACCCCCTGTCTGTTTGGGGCAGGCCAGTTTTTTGCCTACTGTCCAGGAGTCAGGACCTAAGCACCCCACAGGAAGCCTTAGTTCCCTTTTCTTTTGCTGGGAATCTTTTATTATTTTCCTACAAGTCTTTGAGACCTTCAGTCAAGAGCTGTGCTGGGTCACTAGCTGGATAATGTAGATTCTTGTAGTCCCCCCTGCTCAGCCTTTGAGCGCATTAAGTGCCTTGCCTTTTGTGTAAGTTGGGCTGCGACAGTCCTGTTGAGATTGATGGGCTGCCTGTGACATATCTTACGAAGGGATGCATATGACCGATCAGCGCCAAGCTGATTTGTCACAGTATTCTTGTAATATACTCACCTCTCCTGGGTTTGGCGGGTAATGCCGCCTCTCCGCTTGTCACTCCCGCTCCGTCACTCAGCCCCACCTTCCTAGCTGGCTTAAGCCACGATGTTCAATTGTCTGACGTTCGAGCAATGTGCTTACGCCGGGCAAGATTCAACAGAGATCCACTCTCCATCCTGATCTTCTGAGCATAAAATATTCCGGGTCTCCATCCTAAAGTGAACAATAACCTCCCTCATCCTGTATATCCCACTGTGGAAGATCAAGCCTTCCATTCTGAAGTATTTAAACCTTCCCTAACTTGACTAACCAGCGTGTAATACCTGCTCTCCATCCTGAAATAGCACTAATCCTCTCCAACTTGACTAATGGGTTGCAAGTTCAGCTCTCCATCCTGACATACCATTCTCTCCATGCTGATGAACTGTTACTATTGGCAACCACTCTCCATCCTGGATAATCAAGACGACTCTGCTTCCTCTCACTGACTACTTAGCAGACTCTCATGACAACTCGTCAGCTAAACTTTACTACAAAACAACTCTGGTGGTGCGTTGCTAGCCTGCATTCTCCCCTGAAACGCAAGTACTTGATTCCTTACTATTTGCTTTAAGACTTATGTGATGAACTGATATTTGATGAAGTGAAGTTAACTTCTACAAATCATTTAAGATTATTTATTGTTCCCTAACACGAACGGGAATTTTGGTAATATATATTTGGAACGGATATGCCTGTCCAGTTGTTCCTACTATTGGCAAGATTCACATTCTTTTGGTTAAGTGGGTAACTGTGTTGTAGTTCTTGGGCAGCTTATGAAGCAATATAGCCTCTCAAACTGTGTAGTTGGACTCATTTCTTGTACCGTGTTTCCCCGAAAATAAGACACTGTCTTATATTGTTTTTGGCTCAAAAAAACACACTAGGTCTTATTTTCGGGGTAGGTCTTTTTTTTTTAATGTTTAACAATCCAAAGTTAATGCAAATCCAAATTAAATGATCCAAAATGGCGAAGCACGCTTTCACTATCTGTAGCGCTGGCTCCTGTCACAGGCGGA